TAGTATAAATGGAGGAAGGGTGCTTCTTCAGCAAAGGTGGTAAATAATGCATTATCACTGGTGTGTAAAGTAACATACTTTTTATTTTTTTATTTTATTTTTTTAAATTTGTTCATTGAACCAAAACAAAACCTTTGCTGCAAAGGTTTGATATGTCTATTTCAATATCTTTTCTTTAGTGTGTGTGTGTGTCTGTCTGTCTGTCTGTCGACGTCACAACAATAATAGAGGTTCTTCTGGGTGGCAGAAGCATTCTATACACTCTCTACATTAAAACACAATGTGCAATTCCCCATACATCTTCCTGTCTTGATCCTTTCACTCCAGTTTGACAGCCCCAGGAGTTTGGACTTGTTTTGTTATTAAAACAAAAAAATAAAATAAAGTTTTAAAAAGCATTCGCCCTAAAAAGTGACTTCCCCCTCTGTTCCACCTGCTTCTGAACCAGGTAATAGGCACCCGGACCACTTAACTGCCATCGGCAGGGAAGGAGCGAAGGCAAACCGAGAGTCGGCGCCGAGAGACACCTGCGCTGGACGCAGGTAAGTGACAGAAGGTTTTTTTTAACCAGTTGGAGCCACTGGTGTGTTAATTATAAAATAGGTTTCTAGCGCTTACAATGTCCAAATGTGAAAGGCAGCTATTAACCCCAAACCAGAGTCTCTCTATGGAGTAGAGGAGATGAAAAATTAGCTTCTCCCAGTTTTTTCAACGCCTCCACTGGTGTGTTAATGAATTAAATCATAACCAATATTTGTTAAAGAGAACTAAAATGAAGTACGTAAATGGAAACTATAGCCTGGAAAACAAGTTTCACTTTAAGTACTTCATTATAGTATTTTTTTTTTAACAAATATCTGTTGTGATTTATTTCATTAACACCATTCATATCTATATGTCCACTAGATTCCACTAGATTCCCCACCTTGAAACTCCTGTATCTCCATGTACATTTGACAGAGAAGTATTAAAGATAACTTTGCTGTTATTTTATTTCTGGTCCATAGAAATCCTGTACTTTTATATGTTGTATATTACTTATGTGGGTCATTTCATTTTGGAATTAAAGACCATATTGTTATAAAAACATTGATTATCATTAAACCCTAGGAGTCAAGCCAGTGGTTCTTAAAATATCCCCATTACTTGTAAGAGCAAGGTTGAACAAAATGTATAATAATTCTTAGTCTTGATTCACTGAGCTAATTTTCACAGCTGAAGATTGGGTTGCCAAGTAAATGCCACTGCTTTAAAGGAAAACTGCAATTAAAGCAGAAGAACAAAAAAAGAAAATGCCCATTTTCATTTTTTTTCCCCTTTATTTTATTGATTGTTGTGCGTCTTTTTCTGGGTACATTTTTATTTTTTTGGGAATCAGTAAATGGACACTATTGGCACTCTGACCACTTCAGTTTTTTGAAGTGGTCTGGCTGCAGTGTCCCTATTGCCCTTAGTGCTGCAATGTTAAACATTGCAGTTCCATATAAACTCTGCCTCCAGCGACTGTCTCCCAGCCAGCCATTGAAGGCGCTTCCTGCATCCACACAGACCTTTGGTTCGGGATCTGATGCTGGACATCCTAACTCTCTGCATGAGGACATCCAGTATCAGATTTCTCCCCATACAAAAGCATTGATTCAGTACTTTCCTATGGGGGGACACTAATGCGCGTGCAGGAACGGAAGAGGAGGCGGAGCAGTGACCCAGCGCCGAGGGGCATCGGCACTGGGATAAGTCAAGTAAATAAAGTGTTTTTAACCCTTTATTTACAACGGTGGGGGGCGGCAGAGATAATTATAGAACGCTGGAATAATGCTATGTTTTATAGCATAATGTTTATTTTAATAACAAATTTAAAGGCATACTATAAGTGCCAGGAATACAAAGCCTTTAAATTTGTTATTAAAACATACTTTATGCTATAGAACATACCATTATTCCAGTGTTCTGGGATAATTGTACACACCATTTCTCTCAATGGGTGCCCACTCATAGTCTGTGTGTGGTCGCACAGTTAAACCCCCTCATACTGCAGCAGAGAGGAACGGAAGATGAGAGGCACAATTGGTGGCCACTGGAGCTCCAATTTAAGGATTAAACCATTGCCAAATAGTTAAACCTGTGAATGGAAGAGGGGGCCTGAATGCACCACTCCCCATAACAACTTAAAGGGAAACTCCAGACTCTTAAAGCACTCACTTCCAGCTTGCTGAAGTGCTTTATGTGTGAACTTTGTGTCCCATCCACCCCTTCACCCCCCCTTTTTTTATTTTACAAAATGTTCAGATGTCAATAAAAAAAACAATTTATTTGCTTCATGTATCCATTTAAATGAATCCAATTTTGGATAGCAATAGTGAGCTGCAAGTGCTGGGAGTGGCTTTGCTCAGAGTTTATAGCCTGTCTCTTCTATTCAGATTTGTAGGTTTAGTATGTGTGTGTGTGTATTTCCGTGTTTCTATGCATGTGTATGTATCTGTGAATGTATATAGCACTGTAAGTGTGTGATTGTGTGTGTATGATGGGAAACTGACAGTCTGGAACTCTCCCTCTTTTTGTATCTGCATGAATATATGTACGTAGATATTAATTTTAAAGTCAAGGTAAAGATAATGAAATTGTATAAACTTTCTGAAACCATAATCAAATTTTAATACAGTCAAATTGGTTTTATTAAAAAGTGGATAATCTGGAGTGTGTCTGTGAGAGTAACAGATGCTAAAGCAACTACAGTATGTCACTTCTTGACTCGCCATATGTCCATTCAATGAGACTATTTACATCTTTAAGTAGGGGGTCGTTTCCTTTCAGGTAACCCTTTGATTGCCAAGGGAATTGCTGTTTTTTTTTGTTTTTAATTGCAAAATGCAATTATATTTTTTAACTCCATTATATTGGTCAGAGGGTTAAATACATATTTTTTAAAACTTAAGGCAAAACGCTGTAAATTGTATAAGATGCAGCAGCAGTGATTGCATAGATGTGGTTCCCTTAGTTTATTTATATTTGTTTGCAACGTGTGTCGAACTTCCTGTTTTATTGACCGGTAGAAGCTTAATGCTAACGGGTGAAAATGTTAGCAGGTTGTCAGTTCTCCCATTGTTTACGGCACATAGCTTGCGGAAACAGTTAAACATTTTTTAAGTTGGATGAAGTAAGCAAGTGTGACTGCACGTTTTATGATTCCTGCTATTCTATTACTTACAGAACAGCAACATACGCAAAGGTGCTGTTTTACAGGTAAAAATAAAGATGCACATTTTGTGTGAAAAATTTTTTTTTACATATAGGAAGAAAGGGTGATAATGGGTTATATTTAAATGTATAATGTTCCTTGTTGTGTAATCTGCTGCTGTTCGGCACAATAATGGTAAATAATAAATACCCTATTATTTAAAGTAATGGTGTTGGTAGTGATGTTTTAGTGATGCTTTCTGTATAAAACCACACAGTACAGTCCTGTATTATCCATCTTTTTGCAGTGATTTTTCTTTGGGTACGACAACCATACATAGACAGCTGTACATACTTTAAGCCGTAGTAAAGTCAATATATGAACTTTTGATATTTCAATAACGTTATATCCACACAAACAAAAGTAAAGAAGGGTGAGTGACAAATTGCTTGCTACATATATTATTTGTAAAACCAAAGGGATTTACAAATTGTGGTACCATTTTGCAGAAATGTCCTTCAGGGTGGACTATCATAGCTTGTCGATCCATGATAGTTCACACACTCTCTTTCAACATTTGTTTTAATGCTTTCATGTGTTCTGCATAATAATTGAGGGGGTATTATCAAGGGAACAATCCATCATTATAAATAACCACATTTATTTGTAAATGAACATGCTAAGCACCATAGCCACGACAGCCCACTTTAGTGAGTGGGGTGTCAGGAGTGCTCTGGGGTTGTGCCTCACTAAGATGAGCCAAATGTTTCTGTAGATGAAACACTACATGGAGGACTGTGAACATTGGCTCAAATTATGGTGTCAACCATTGAGAGCAGTCCTGTTTGTACCAGATTTGCTCTTTTGAGTAATCCAGATACTCCTTTAGGATGCAGAGGATGAGGTCACAGATGGTCGGAGACAAGTTACTTATCAAACAATAGTGATACTGTTTGACATGTTAACATGGAGTTGTACCAGAGCTCTCCTGGTACCATAAGCACTACCGCAGGAAGTAGCTTTACTGCTGGAGTGTCATATAGATCCGTGAGTTTCATGATACTTTTTAAAAAAATTAACATTTGTAACTTACCTATAATGCAGCTGCAAGAGAGTCTCTTTGCCCCATATCTGCATCGCTTCCAAGAGATCATCACTCATGATAATTTAGTCAATACAGTGTTCTAATGTAGAAGCACTGAGAAGCAGGGATCATATGCAGTAAATTTCACAGTCACTTTTTTTAAAGTAAGAAGAGGGGATACTTAAACATTAAGAAGCTTTGAACATTCAAAATGTAAAAATTTACATAATGAATTCACCCCTTCCTACTATTTAAAAATTTAATTTACAGAGGGAATGTGTGACCATGCTTCAAACAAAGTGCCTTCAATGTTTCAAACGTCAAACCTGACCGTTGCTGTCTATGCATCTTGATTTCCCAATGTTACCAAGGCAATAATACCTGCGCAAATGGCGCTATTTTAATAAGACCACTGGTTCATGACTTTCCGCCCCTACATTAGGGAATGCAAAATAACAGCTAAAAAGTGTACACCTAATATGCACCATGTAAAGACAGGATTTAGGGGGGGGGGGACCCGAAACATGCATCTTGCAGAAACTGTTACCATTGCGACCAAAATTTATACATAACACAGATTAAGTAACAGTGCACACATAAAAATATATTTTTCAATTTCATAAGGCTACTTAAAATCGTGAGCTCACCACACTAATGGGGATTGGATGCAGCAGGCTCCAGTAAAACTTGAAAAACTCCGCCGCCCTCCTCCTTCTGGATGTGGTCCGTTCGCTCGGTGTA